CCCACTGTCCTCCTCTGGACATGTCCAAACCAGTATACCCACTGTCCTCCTCTGGACATGTCCAAACCAGTATACCCACTGTCCTCCTCTGGACACATCCACTCTATCTCAGTCTGGTCTCTTTAAATGTATCTCTCATTAGTCCAATCTGTGCTGTTCCTCTGATGCTCTCATTTCAAATTTTTTCCATCCCTGTTTCTCTCAAAAAAAAAAAACAAAAAAACAAACCTCAACATCTTCAGTGCTGACATTTCCAGTTCTGTCTTCTGTCTTTTTGTCCACTTCTCTGTCTCTACCCCAAACAACATACACTAGCTGGTCTCACTACTCTCTTGTAAACCTTTTTGACCTTTGCTGCGCACTTTTGTCTCAAATCATTCCTGAAACTTTTCTCCATTCACTCTATCCTGCCTGGACTGTTTTCCTCACCTCTTTACCCCACTGGTTTCTTGGACAGTGGACCTTGAGGTCCTGCACCTTTGTGACCTCTGCTCCTTGTATCCTCACTGTTCCACATGCCTTCCTCTCAGTCACTCACATGGACCCTGTTTTGCTAAAACAATAACCACAAAAAGCATGGATCATGAAATTCCTAAAGTATTGAATGTGAACATATTGTGTAATAATTGGATGGATTTAACTGTTATCAGTTTTTAATCTAGATCTGCTTTGAATGCAGTGTTTTTGTTGCAGGGGCCCTGGGACAACTCTTGATCAACTGAACTGAAGGGCTGCAAACCTGCAGGTGAATCTGCAGTTTCATATGTTGTTACGTTTTTAGGAACCAATGAAATTTATTCAGTGAATTTATTGGTGACTTGCTCTTTGATAGTGTCACTAACCAAATTTTATTTGCCAAAAACCGTCAGGGATTCCTGTTAGATTAAAACAGGTTGACCACAAGGTTCTTTGAATGAAGACAGGTCTCTGAGCAACACACTCTTAGTTTGGTGCAGTAACACTGTGTGTGTGTGTGTGTGTGTCTAAAGTGAACTGCCTTCATTATTTCTCAAGAGGACATTTCTTTCATAGTGTCCCCTCTCTCATCACCCAGGATGTTTCATACATAATGCAACATGCACACTAATGCACTCACTCACACAGAAATAAGAGGAGAAAAAAGCAAAGACAACACACAAAGGAGGAGGTACTCCTGGCTGAACCCACACACATCTATGCCGACACTGACATGTGATCAGTACAGTGTTCTGCTCAGACTGTTTGCCGATGACTCAGTCCTGTGTTCGGTAGTGTTTTGGATGTGAGTGACTCAGTCGTGTGTTTTGTTGTTGCTCACTTCTTTCTTGTGTTGCAGCCACCAACAGCACAGAACCCACAGTCCCTATAAATTAATATATATGGAATTACAGATGTGTTTGAGTGAAATAAAAGCCATTAAACATTAAAAAAATCAGAATAAAGAAATAAATGCATTAATAACAGAGATAGTCTGACCTCAGCTTTTAGGGTGCACAGTTTTTTCTCCTCCGGATATTATTTCACATTTGGGTGATTCTTTTTTGCGGCAACATTTTGGCTTCAGAACTTTTGAAAAAAAAAAGAAGAGCAATATTTTAAGTTTTAAATATTTTGTTACATCACTGACATGTTTAACAATAAGAAATGAATAATGGTGAAGCTCAGGGCTGGATAAAGTAATAATTACAGGTAGTTTTTCTCACCATCGTCTCTAAATTTGTTCCACCCTGTCAGGGACATTTACACATAGACCACAAACAGTTAAACATGTAAATATTGATAAATTATAACATTTTTTAAAAAGAACATGTACCTTTTACTATATAATATGTTTTAATCTTGAAATTTTAACTTATCATGTAGCTACGAATCGATTATGTATTGTAAAAAATGTTTTTACACATTATTACTGACAACATAGAAAATACTGGTGATTTAAAAAACTTATCCATATATGTGACGTTTAATTGTCTCCACTTCCCATCATGGCACAGAAAGATTCACAGTACTTAATGTTTCTGCAATAATTTTTGATAAAAACACATTTTCAAACAGGGTGGAACATACATAACAGGGTGGAAAATCAATGTTTACAATTTTAAAATCTGATGATTTTCACAAAATCATTTTACCCAGAGGTTCTCAAACTGGGGTTCCTGGACCCCCAGGGGTTCGCAAGAGGTATCTTGAGGATCCTCAAAAGTTTGTTTTTTTTTTACTAAAATGTTAATTTTGTTTTTATTTTTAAAAATGCATGAATGACAATGAACTAATAAAACAAGCATAATAAACTTAATAAAAATATATATTCACATGGCATTTAGGGGTTGAAATGACAAAAAGTTGTCTTTTTAAACAGCATGGGGTTTATGAGGGGACCCTGGAATTTTTTTCAACCTTGTAAGGGGTCCCCAGACCCAAACGGCTTGAGAACCCCCAATTTAACCACATCAACAGGATTAACTGTGGAGACAAGAGGAAGCTGTTAGAATAGGATGTTGTGGTCTAAAACCAGGTTGTCCACACACACACACACACACACACACACACACACACACACAC